GCCCCTGGTAGCGTCCTTGCTCCTAGTAGCGATGCCAGGAGCCCCTAGTAGCGTCCTTGCTTGCTCCTAGTAGCGATGCCAGGAGCGTCCTTGCTCCTAGGAGCGACTGAAACGTGTGTTCGGGTCTCGCAGGTCCGTGAACTTGAGAACTCAGAACTCGGGTTTCGGTCCGTGGCGTTCAAATCCGGAGGCCGTAGGTTTCTCCAACCGAATTTCATGTTTTCCAACCGTCCTGTTTGGAAGTGGCGCATGTCTTTTGTAGGAGCTTGCGGATCCTGAAGGCTGTCACAACCTTGATCTGCCAGTCTTTGAAGTGCCTTTTGGCATTATAATATGTTTTGAAATATGATGATTGATGTATGATAATAAAGGTTATGTTGTTACTGTAGATATAATGCACAGTGACACACACACACACAGACATCAGTTTGCTACCTCACAAATTTGCCCCAGCGCTTGGGAGCAAACACATTACTGCAGGTAATTATGGCGATTAGTGAAGCCATGGTCGTATATAGCCCGGCATTACTTGGACATATTCGGAGAGGTTCTCTTCGTTTTTTCACATCCGTGTGATGTTGAATCTTTAATTTTTGTGCTATCAGAACATGCCAGACGTGAGACTCGTTTGAGGCCTGTGTTGAATGTGCAGTGCAACTTCACTTGGGTGAAAGGCCTAAGGACAATGTTGATTGAAAAGGCCGGGAGAGGTCAGATTTTTTCCAGAAGGGATGCCATAGCAAAGACTGGCTCTTTCCTTGCTCGGAAAGTACTAAGTAGGGGCTTGTGCTCGAAAAGAGGCTGTGATCACGGAGAATCACAAGGATTTCGAGACCCTCGGCTGCCTGAGTGTTGAGAGGAATGTCATCAAGATGAAACCAGCTTCAGAAGGGTCACTAGCAGTAAAGCTTCAGGACCGTCACTAGATAATGTTAGAAATGCACTGGATCTCTACTGGGCTTTGTGCTTCTTGTGATAAAGCTGGTGAGGGACCCAGTGTGATCCAAGGCACAGATGGGCTCTGAAGTTGTATGGCCAATTTGAAGATGCTTGGAAGATGTTACAGAAACATAGCGTTTTCCTTTCTTCATGCTTTTTTGCTCTTTTCAAATCTTTTGCCTTTTTTGTTTTCTCTTCCCACATCCTCCCTCTCCTTCACATCGTTCGCTTCATTTTTGATTAGTTCTCTCTTTCTCCCTCTCACGGACTCATACACTGCTTCGCTACCTTTTCTCAATTGGCACTGGCGACAAGTGTGTTCCACACACTTATAGAAATGCGTGCTGATTTGAAAGCGGTTGCCACACGCCGGCCTAAGTGAAAAACCTAAGGTTCCAGGTGAGTTAAAGCAACTGGTATCCTCCATGAGGCCTCAAAGAAAACCTCCAAAAGTTCATCAACTCGAAACATTGAAGAGAGAGCGAAATCGACAAAAGGACGACGAGCGCTCAAGTCTGCAGAAAGCATTAGCCCTTTACATCACCTGGTGAACCTGGAAACAGCCTGGGCAAAGGCGGACCACTGGAGTCAATGTGTTCAAAGCAGGTACACGGAGGTGATCAATCTCCGCTTCCACCATCGTGCACAGGTATCCACGATGGGCCTGTGCCCCCTGCAAGTTAAAATTACAACCAAACACACAATCCAACTGGATCCCTGTGATTCCAAGGGGTACACACACTCTGACAATTGTATTCAGTTAACTCAATTTCCCGATGGGAA